ATTTTTTTGCTTCAGCCTCTGGGCAGCTGCAGGTGGTCCATATCCTCTTACCTTCCTGCTCCCTGCAAAGCACAACATGGGTTGGTGGTGTTACAACAGGGCACGTGTGTCCATCGGTCTACTCAAAGTGCTCAACTGATGTTTCAGCAGTGATCAGAGCACGCCACCAATTTGCAGCCTGAGAAGATCAAGTGACCATGGCCTCTCATCCTAGAAATGAGCATCTCTCATCCCAGCTTTACCTCAAAGTCCTTTCCTGACCTTGGGGGAGATGCACAGTCTGTCCTTGGAGTGCCCAGGGGACACAGGGCTCAGGCTGATTGCTGGGACATGCAGGTCTGTCACAGCATTTAAACGTAAGAGGAGGATTCAGATCTACTTTTTCTGCTGGTAGAAGAGGAGTAGGAGCTGTGTTTGGACTAATCCCTATAACCATGTATTGCAGATATTGAGCCCCTTCATGGCCCACCAAAAGTTGCCCTCAAATTTAGCTCTTGGGGAGTGATGCTCTGGATGTGGCAGTAAAAACCACTGGAGCCAAATGGCGCCTCTACACAACACTGTGACCCTGTGGGAAAGTGGGAATGGGGAGAAAGAGAAGCTGCTTAAAAACACATCACTTACTGGTCATGTTCTTCGATGACCTCTTCAGAGTCTGACATGCCTGGTTATCTAAGCAGAATTCAAGGCAGTTTGGAAAAAGCGAGGGTTAGGAGCAGAGATAAGGACAAGCACAGCCTGTCCTCCAGCACCCGGGACACAGGCACAGAGATGCTGAGCTGTCCCCAGCTCTGACAGCATTATCTCAACAGAGATAAGGTTCTCCCTCCCCTCCTCTCCCAGGATCACTGCTCGCCCCAAATAGGAGGCAGGAGATTAGACACAGCCTCATGCAACACTGATAACTGCTGTCAGGAGCCGTGTCCAGCTGCCTCAGGGTGCTGTGTTTGCTCAGAGCACAGGAAAAGAACCCAATTACAACGCTCAGCTCGTTTGGCTTCCTGACTATTCTTAGCTCAGTTGGGATACAGAAACTTTGCAGGGACATCCCGTTATCTCAGATTTACTGCCCTGCACAAGCTGCAGCACAAGAGCTCCGTGAGATCTCACAGCCCAGCCCTCCAAGAGCAGAGTATGCTCAGGAAAGGGGTGATTTGGGCTCAGAAGGGATGTTTCTCTCCTCGTTCTGAGACTGAGCTCAGCTAAAAGGAGTAATTCACAGCCTGCTTCAGCAACAGTGGAAGTAACTGTGCAGAAATGCTCTTCTTCCCAGCACACCCGTCCTCCTCCCAGTCGTGATTAGGATGTCACTCATTGTCCCACCTCATCTAGCTCCTACTCAGTGCTCCACCACGAGGTCTACACACACCGATGCCATGATGAGCTCCAGCCCCGGGCATCCTGGACCAGCCCTGGGCATCCCGGAGCAGTACTGGACACCAGCCCAGGCCCCTGCATAGCCCGCCCGCTGTTCAAGCTCATGCCAGACCTCATCCCAGCCGCGATGCAGCTCTAGAAATAACTCCCATGTGCCAAAGCACCTGTTCCCAGCACAGCGCCGCTTCCCTTCTCCTGTTGGGAACAACTGGTCCTGCTGCATCTGTCGAGCATTTATAACCCGGGATGGGTAGGACAGGCTGCGGGGTCGCCTATTCAAGATGCTGAATCCAGGACTGGAATCCACAAGCATGGGAAAGCTGCGTTGCAGGAGGGGTGCCTCCGCATACCCCGGGGTGGTCAAATCTCACTTCTGAGCAATGACTCAGAAGGTGCTTTTTGGAGACAAACGAAGTCAGAGCTCAGCCCCGTCTGCCCCAGCTTCATTGCCTGCTTCTGTCATCCTTATTCCCCTGGAGCTTGGCCCTAAGAACCCCCTTCAGCACTGTCCCCTTGATCTCCTCTCCTCCTCAAACATCAGTTCGTGGCCCTACTTGTCGCCCAGGCTCAGCATGGTCCTGCTATCCTGAGCTTGGCCAAATAATTCATGTGGCCTCCGAGCTGCCAAGGCTTCATGTTGTCCTCTCATGACACAAGAGCAGAGACTCCCTCCCGGCCACGACAGTGCAAATGTGCATTTGTAACAGCTTATTTCTACATCTCCATTCACCTCCTCCCTCACACAACGCTCAACCCCACAGAGAATTTGCTGGGGAACAGCAACAAAACCTTAAGGGGTACACAAGGATAAAAGTGTCTCTAGGAGATACAAATCCATCCTCTGCACAGAAACAGATAAACCTTCCCATTGAAGCTTTGGAATCTTGTTTTCCCACCATTTACTCCAGTGTGGGTCACATCTCTGCTCCCTTCCTGCTTGGCAGGGTCAGACCGTGCACAGGAACATCCCAGCTCTAACACACCTTATGGGCTGCCAGTGAGCCATGGCCGGGCTGGCCCAGCTCTCACATGGGCATCACATCCCTCTTGTCCCCTCCAGAGACACAGTTCACATGGATCTGTGAGATCCCCTGGAATCAGAGCAGCCAAAATCCTTCTCAAGCCACCTTGGCACACATTGGGCTGGTTTAAAGGGCATTGGGCAAGTTGCAAATACAACCCACTGGAGAAGCTCCGGATGCTTGATCCGTGGGAATGCCTCCGTGGCAAAAATACATCCTGGCTGGGGAGGACCATTAAATCTGAGCCAAATCACTTCTGCCCTTCCACTAAGCATCCCATGCCCCAGGCGGCAGCCCCCCACGCAGCCTTACCTCTGCCCTGGGGCGCCGGCGAGATCCCAGGGAGCTGGCGGGCGTCTGGGAAATGCTCTTTGGGGGCAGGAGGCTTTAAGGGGGCTCCAGCGCCCACCCCGGGGCGGGCAGCGCCAGGAGGAATGTGCCTGGCGCCCAGGGAGGAATGCAACACTTGTGAGCTGCTATTTCAGCCCCAGCCCCCTCCGCCGCTCCCCCTTCCCCCCCAGGAGCCCATATAAGCCCAAGCTATTGTGTGGCCTCAGAGATTTGCTATTTTAAACCCTCCGGACTGAGATACGTGAGTGCCCGAGGGGCTGACACAAGCCAGGCAGCTGTCACCTTCTGATAAGGCAGCGAGAGCAGGACCAGACCCTCCATCGCAGCCCCCAACTCTGCACCAAGCCCAAGATGCTGCAAGAGAAGAGGCTCAGGCTTGTTTTTCCCTCCTGGGACACGTGCGCCTCAGGTCCTTGCCTTCTTTCCCCTTGTCAGATGAAGGGAAGCAAACTGCTCCCATCCCAGAAGCATCTTAGAAAGAGCAACTTTTATTAGGAAAACAAAAAAGGCACAGAGAGAACCAAGTCCTTTCCAAAGCCCAACAAGCAAGATCAGGTCTAGAGGCAGCAGTAGAGGCCCACACCGCATTTGGACGCCACAATGGTTGCTCAAGGCACAGCCCTTGCCCACTGAATGGCCCCAGATCAAGGATTTCAGCATCATTTTGTGGGCCTAAATTCAGCATCATTTTGTGGGTCTAAATTCAGCATCCTAAAGCCAACCTCAAGAGATTATCCTGCATCCCTCCTGTGTGGGCTCAGCAGCCCAAGGGGTGCAGGACCATGGGTCACAAAAGCCATAGGCAATGGGTTCAGGAGGAAGGGCGAGAGGGAAATGGGGTTTGGGAAAGGGGTCCAGCACTCAGTACTCAGCTCCATGCAACCCCAAAACCAGGACCATGGTCCACCCACCCTTCCCACATATCTAAGTGCAAGGAGTCAGTGCACCAGTGTCATTGGGTCCACCTTTCTTCCACAAAGCATCACTCCATGCACGTGTGACGTTGCAGCCTTGGGTTGCTCCAGCACTAACAGCCAGGCGAAGGGCTGACATCTGCCTTCCCCACGTGAGCCAGGCAGCAGGGATGGGTATGGTCTATGGATGCTCAGCTGAAACTCCCTTGGCCAGGCAGTTTCTTATCCCACTGACATCATCCAGCTGCAAGGGAGATGTGTAGGTTGATGTCCTTTGCAAGCACAGTTATGGGGCACAGGCAGAGTTTAGGAGCAAAACACCAAAATGTTGAGGGAAAACAAGGCAAGAATCTGCCTCCAGCGTCTGCATTGAGCTTCCAGCTCTGGGCACTCCTGGACAGGCAGCAAGTGAGGACTGGGTGTGCAGGGGTAACCTTCCAGCCTTCTTCCTTCCTCAAGCAGAGGTACCCCGGCGACGTGGGCTGCACCTACATGCGGCACGGGGAACGCTCATGGCAGTGGGCTGCTGGGCAGGGCTGGGCTTTGATCCTCAGAGCAAAACAGGTTTTCCCAGGTCATCTGATATTATTACAAAGGACACTATTGCAACTGGAAAAGAAAGTGAGAAACAGTGAGACCAGGCCTGGGGCTGCAAACCCCCAAAGGCAGCTACTGTGACCAGGACCATAGTTGTGCCAAACAGGGATTGGGGCAGGCAGGCATCCCCTAGATCCCACCACACACCACTTTTCCCTTCTTCTCCCAGACCAGACTTCTTCTCACCATTAGAGCTGTCTCCAGTCATCCCCTCCTGCCAAATTCCCCAAGCCATGGGGTCCTGGATGCCCCACACATCCCCTCTATCCCCTGTAGCTTGAGTTTCTCACATCTGCCCATGATTCCAGCTCTGCCCCTAGCTCAGAGGATGCACCACCTTTCAAAGCAGCTCTGTGTCTACCTTGGTGTCTCCAGAGGTGTCTCCAGGCTGCTTTACCCAGACATCACGGCTTGGCAGGCTGTTTATTTTCCTGATGTCCTGCAAACAGGAGAGTCACACGTGGCACAGGAAGGTTTTCCCTGTGCCTCGGTCTGATTTTAACCAGCCCTTGAAGCACACATGCCCCAGGTAAAACCAGAGAGCTTTGAGACCCTGCCCCTGGCAGACCCTCCAAGCCAAGCGTGGCTCCAGCCCACAGAGACAGAGGCAACGGGTTGTTCTTGCAGGAAGAACTGATAAAGGAGCTGCAGGCTTTTATCCAGGAGTGACCCCGGGAGCAAACCCTCTCCTGGCAGACACGGGCCAGCGCAGACACGTCTGGGCAGCACTAATCTCTGCGGCTCAGCGCTGGGGGTGCCCGGGCTTGTCTGCCCATACCCAGAGTGTCCTGCCCAAACCAGCCATACCCGCTCCCAGGACTCACTGAGCGCCTCCTTTCCAAGCACATGAAACTACCCTGAGGCCAAAGGGTCTCCTGTCCACCTCCCCAGAGCACCCGTGGTGGCAGAGTGATGACCTCCGAGTCCCCTTAGCTGGGCGCTTTGCCCCCGCAGCTACAGGACACCCTGATTTTGGGGGCTGGGATACATGCATGATGCAGATCACTCCAGACCCCACATGCAGCAGGACCTCTCAGTGTACACGCAGGTCTCTAAACCCCACAGAGCCCAGTCCATCAACCCATAAGCTCCAACACCCCAGATGCAGGGACATGTCCCACCAGGCTGCCTGGGCTCTTGCCCAAGGTGTCGGCACAAGCCAGTACCTTGCTCTTCTCCTCCTTGGCAGGCTCCTGAGCTCGGCTGATCCACAGATTAATGCGGGACGTCACTGATCCTGGGATCTTCAGGTTGTCCTGTGGCACACAGAGGGACACCAGGATTACAGCACCAGCTCTCTCATGGCACAAAAATCAATGCGGACAGTCCCCAGGGTACAGGGAGACTGAGCAACCTGCGGCGGGCAGAGCTCAGCCTCCACCTTGGCTCCATCCCAGCTCCCCAAATACCAGCGCATCGGCACAGACCCGCACACCCCCGGAGCACCCTCTGGGTGGCAGTCGGTGCCCAAGCCCATCCCTACACCTCTCAGCAAGCACCACGCTCCCATCATACTGCTCCCGGGATCTAAAGGGGGGAAGATGCGCCCGAAGATGCGGTGCCTGCCCCAGCACAGGGCTCCTGCGGTACCTTCCTGGCAGCGAGCGGCTCAGCCTTGCCGGGAGCGGTCGCCTCGAAGAAGCTGCGCTTGCTCGCCACCCCCTCCGAGAGCAGGAGGCTCTTCTGAACAGCCGGGGATGATTTCACCACCTCCGAGCGCTGGGAGGAGAGAGGAGGGGGTCAGCGCTGCACCACACGTGGTAAAGAGCAAAGTCCTGCTTCCGAGTCACATCCCGAGCCCACTGGGGTCTGCTCCCTCCTTGCCCATCACCAACTCACGGGCTTGCCCCACTGCTCCCCGCAGCAGGAGCCTGCAGCATCCCCATGACCCTCTCCAGCGGGTGCCCACCCCCAGCTCCTAAAACCCTGAAGCTCATCCCCTTTTCTGCCCGGGACCATCTTCTTCAACCCCATTAGTGCGTGTTTGGAGCAGCTCGGTCCCACTCTGCCTTCCCCATTCAGCTCCAGGCCATGCCTCTTCCTCTCCCCACACATCCTTTGCACACATCCCTCCCATGCCAAGGCATTCCAGCACCTGCACGGCCGAGTTGTACTTTTCCAGCTTCTCCCCAATGGTGCTGCTGCTACCCGGGATCCTCATGCTTGCACTGGTGAAGAAGAGGGGAGAGAGTTGGACACAGCCCCCTCAGGATCTCCTGGGACTCAGCCCATGGTCCTTGGGAACTCTACTTGGCAGAAGACCCTGTCTGACTCTGGCACTCCTCTTGCATCCACAGGCCAAGTGAACTGTGGCAGCTCATTCCCTGCTGATGACCAAGATCTTTGGGTCTCACCATCTTCCTGGGAGTGCTCTGTACATTGAAAAATAGCCCTGAACTCCTCAGTTTACTCTGTCTTCACCACTGCCAGGTCTGAGCTGCATCTTCACCAGTATCAGGATGAGTTTGCCTGCAGTATGCACAGGTACAAGCCCAGGTGCTGTACAACCCCACTCCCCTGCATTCAGAGGTGGGAGAGCATCCCATTGACTCCCTGCATTCACATCTGATCCTTTGTTCCTCAAGAGGTTTTTAAGCCATCTGCCCAAAGCTTGCCATGGAGATGTGGCCATCAAAGCCAGATCAGGGTGCTCATGGACCTGTGCAGCTGGTTTTGATATCTCCAGGGATGGGACCCTGTTGCAGTGCTGCACCACTGCACACTTAACCACTCCTGTGCAGACACAAGCACTGATGAGAAACTGCCTGAACCAAGAGGCAGCAGGGGGTAGCTGGGGGGGGTCTTGTACACATACAAGCTGCACATTGGACATTGTCCTGTGCTCTGCTAATGCCAAGTCAGCCAGGCACCCCGGGGACCAACGTCCAGCAGACCTGTACCAGGGCACTCACTACCTGGTCCCAGGTCCCATCACCTCCTTCTCCCTTGGAGCACAAAGGGGGATGGACAATTCCTGCCCAGCAAGACCCAATTAACATGAAGAGAGGTGCTGACCTCCTTGTGAGAGGGCTTTGGCTTTCTTCTTTCTGTTTTCTTGAGATCACCTGGAAGACACAAGGAGAGGAGATACTGGAGCCAACTGTGGTTATCAAAGACAAACATGGGAGAAACTGCCCCAGACCCATCTCCCCCATTTTCACCCACACCAGAGCTGATGTCATATCTCAAAGCTCACCAGCCTTTTGTACTGCTAACATCCCTGACAAAGCAACATGAAACTCAACTAAGCCAGCAAGTCAGCCCTGATTCACAGCAGGGACAACCTCAACAGCTCTTGGTTTTCCCAATCTCCCCAAGCTCTTTATTCCAGAGATCTTTTGGGGCAGGCTAGAATGAAAGATATTCTCAGGGATGTAACAAGGGACAAGAAAGAGGATGGGTTTCATTTTCACCCTGTGCTCTCACAGAAGACTAATAAATGCCAGAGGGGGAATGGTCATTCCTGGGACTCTGGAAACTTTGAGGACTATGAGCTCCCTGTTTTCTCATCACTTCCCACAAGTTCCCATGCCAGCACAAAGCATGAGCATGGGCTTGTTCATCAGCACAGGCCTTTGGTCAGACACAGCAAATGAAAATGGAGGTAAACTGAAGCAGAACTGCAATGCCCAGATCAAGGGTGGGTTTTGAATGCACTTTGGGGAAGAGGCTTTGCCAACATAACCTGGAGACCAAAGCAACCCTTCCTTCCCCCATCCTCCAGTGCCTAAACAGGAGTCTTCCTCCCATTTGCTTTAGCTCTTACCCGGAAAGAGACAGTTCTTGGGCTGGTTCGTCTGATGGAGCTGCTGTAGGTGATCTGTGTTGGAAAAGTATCTGACTTCTCTGCAGGTTCCTCTTGGGTGGAAGACAGCTGTGTTGCCTCCTTTGAGGGATTCCTGGATGGCTGCTGCGGAAAAAGCAGGTACCTGATGCATCCCTGCAGGGAAGGCTGAGGTGCAGGGAGCAGAGCAGACAGGGTGGGAACTGGTTGGGAGGCAGGATTTGAGGGTGAGGTCCTCCAAACCTTGGCTGTCTCACTTGGACAGGCAAAGCCCCAAAGACCTCTTCAATGAAACTGTGATGGCCATCAGTAGGGGCTTGCTGGAGAAGGTGATGAGAATAGAGCATGGAAGGGAGGGAAAGGGGGTGGTGGGACCCTGTCCACCACCTTGTGGTTTGCAGCTTTCAGAAAAAACCCTCCCCAAAAGCCCACGGTTCCATTTCCCTCCCGGTGCTTTGGGGCTCTCCCTCTCTGCTGTCCTCCCAGCACCCAGGACTTCACACCACAGGGGTTGGTGCCTTCTCCATCGCTGCTCACCTGCTGGTCCAGGGATGAGGTTGCCACCGAGGTTGTCTTCTCCTCCACGCTGCGGCTCCCTTGCCTGGTCAGGATCTTGACCTCACGGAGCCGGCAGCCCCCCAGCTCCTGCACCTCCCTTCTCTGCTCCCCCCGAGGAGACCCCACACCTTGTCCTTCCTTGTCCTGGAGCTGTGTCCTCACCACCACCTTCGTCTCCACGGCCGGCTCCCAGTGTCGGTCTCCTGGTGGGTTCCCTCTGCCCTTGGCCGCATCCCGATCCCGCTGTCCAGCCTGGATGCTCTCCTGCCCCGTGCATGGCTGTCCCCCTGCCTCTGCACGGCTCACTCCCACCCCTGGCTCCTGATGCTCCTTCTCCTGCCTCAGCTTTCCAGAGACTGCCATCGGGGACCTTGTTCGTCTCCCTTCTTGTGTCTTCAGCACTACCGAGAGCTTACGCTCTTTCCTTT